AGTATAAATAATAATCGAATCAAATGCAGAAAGGAACTATTTCATATTTTAGCATAAATATATTTTGTGCCGAGGTTACGTTTGAAGCAACACGCGCATCATTGCCATTAGACAGAATAAAATTAAATATATATACATATATATTATATATATATACATATATATAAATATATATATATATATATAGATACATATGTATATATATATATAAATATATATATACAACTACATACATGCATATATAATGAATATGAATATGCCTAAAACTGAATATAAAGTAAAACTATTTATAACAAAATACTTATTGCATATTTTGTGCTGCTGAATGAGGTCACAACGCAACAAAACAAATTATAAATAAAACGTAATGAACTTGATAACAATAATGCAAATAAAATTCTAATTAATCTTAGAGCAATAAACGTCAGATGCATGCATACTTATCGTATAAGAATAGTAGTCTATATGTCGGTATGACTAATATTTTGAACCAGCACTGTGCGTCTGATCTGTGCCCCCCGCACACACAGGCTCACGTGTATAACAGTTCATAGGACACACAGGTACAGTCGCAGAACAGTGCGCACAGTGCCGGCACAAAGTGTGCGAACAGGCTTGTGGGATTCTACAGCAGAGGCGAAACTCTTAAATGCAAAACAAAAATAAAATATAAAAAAATACACCAAAAAATTGAAAAACGCAAAAAAAAAAAACATAACAAAAAGAACCCTCAAAAACAAACCAAGAATCTTTTTTTAGGTACACTTAAATCAAAGCGTGAAATATTATATTAGTTAATAAATAAATAAATGCTTTTTTGTCGAATCACTATAGAAAATTTAAATGAACAACAACTTTAGCTTTATACTCGTACATTTACATTTGTAATATATTACATAAGTCTAGTTAATTACATGAAATAAAAATAATCATAATAAAAAAAAAAAACAAAACAAAAACAATATAAGAATGAAAATCAAACGAAGCATAGCAAATTAATTCGAAGAAAATATAAATAATACAAAAAAAAAAAACAAAAAAAGTGTAAAAACAAAAAGAAACATTTATATGTAATGCAGCCAGTTAATATGCATAGCTAAAAATAATAATAAAACAAAAATAAAAAAAAATAGCAAAAAAAAATTGCAATTAGATATTCGATATATAAAAATTTTACATTTCTTCATATTTTTGTTATATTTGTGTAATTATAATTATTGTTGTAATTTAGTTAAGAATGTTTTGTGTTGCACACGTACACACACACACACACACACATACTCCGGACACACTCACATGCATACTCACACACACACGCACACAGATTGCCAGCATCCGAATGCCCATGCCAAGCAGCCGAGAAATAATTTTAAGTACAGCTGAGTACATAAACTAATGAAAGCCAAGTCTAAAGAGCAAGAAGCTTAACAACCACACCAACAAGAAATACACAATTATGAAAGTTGCCATCCAGCGAAGTATTTGCAATTTACATACTACATTGATAGACATACATACGTATGTATATTAAGCGAAAGCAGCAAGCATTCAATTTGAATAATACCGTTTAAATAATTGACAAGCCGAACGAACAGCAACCACTTTCATTAATAAGAATAAAAAAAACAGACTGAAAAAGATACTAAATAAAATGATAAAAAATTTATATGATAGTAAACGTAAAATGCATCAAGCGAGTATTAAACAAGCTGCTTAACAAGTCCCTTTACTTACATAGCCACACGCCTACACCCACCCACACACACACACCCACACACCCACACACGCACACACAGACACACACACACATACGCCCACAGTTACCTAGCAGCAGCAGCAACGGACAGTTTATTAAACCTTAATAAAATATTAAAGAATAATAATAACAATTAGCGCCACAACATAAGCTTGTAAGAAAATAACAACAAAAAACGAAGAAAAAAAAGAATATATATACATATATATACACATATATGAAATAAACGACAAACAATAAGAAAAATGTATTTATATTTATACACAAAGCAAGCAAAGAATAATTTGAATATACATATAAAATTACTTCTAAACACCAAATAAAAAGCAAGAGAGTCACAGGCACCGTTAGCGTATTTTTTTGATATACAAAATACAATTTAAGCAAAGTACATGAAGTAAATTATTAGTGAGAAACAACTGATGTCTTTGTAAAGACTTTATATATGCCTGCCATATGCCTACATCTGCCTAGCTGTCTAACTCTATTTAACACTAATTATTTTCTCTCGCTTGAGCACAAAAACAATCACACTCCTTCACTCGAACACACACTTACACACCATTGACAAGCACACAAACAAACACACATACTGACGCATGCCGAAATACACAGTCCGCGCTTCAACGTGTGCGGCTAAGGCAAACGTTTTGAGAAGCGCATAGAGAGGTCGCGCGTTCATTTCGATGCGCATAAATTTGTGCATGTACGTCAGCATTGCTCTAGAGCTTTTTATTTTATAGTTTAACTATTCATACACTTATGATCTTAACGTCGTTTGGGGCAACTTTACTCTTTTCACATTTCCACACACCTGCCCCCAACTCTCCGCGATGGAGCGCAGTTTTTGAGCAACTCTATTTGGTAGCAACTTCCCCGGCTACAAATGAATAGTGGTTCAGATGACTGTACAAGCCCTCCTCAAAAGAAAAACGAAAAAGAAAATACAAAGAAAAAAAAACGAAAAACGAAAAACAAAAACAGAACAAAACCAAAAACTAAACAAAATTGTTATACTGTGTAATATATACATATTTGTTATATACATATGTATTTGTGCAAGCAAGTAAGCAGCTAAAATGTATGACACCCGCCACTTTTCTACTAAACAAATCGACTGTATATATAAGATAATATGTATGAGTATATTTATGTAGCAGTATAACAGTATGTGTTGTGCATTTGCTTACATCAACATGGACACTCACACAGGCGCACCCACACACACACACACACGCACACACCCATACTTCCACGCAAGCCCAAACAGACACACACACATACACATCTACACACGACTTGTACATAAATAGGTCGATGCATTTTCTAGTAGATATTTTACTTTTTTATTTCAATTGTCATTGACATTCCTTATATTAGCAATATTCTTATAAAATATAAATAAAAAATAAAAAAAAAAAAAAACAAAATACAAAGAGCTGTCATACATCTAAATGTTTTCGCAATACCGAAAATGTTATGCATAATTATAAAAAAATTAAAAAAAAAAATCCAAAAAAAAACTATTGTTATCGATTTTTTTAAATACTCGTAACTACGAAATCATTAAGTTTGAGCGCCATTTTTGATAATACAACTACAACACAACAACAAAGCGAATGCGAAATATATATATGTATATATACATATACGATGTATATATATTTACATATATATTAATGTATATACATATATCAAATATAATGTAAAAGCAGTGCGACAACAATTTTGTATGTATTAATTTTTATTAATGAAAATACACACACACACACAAACAACAACTAGAACACAAACATAAATTGTTTTTATAAAAGTATATATATATATTAGATATATTATATAAAAATACAGAAGAAAAAAAAAACAACTTTAATAAATGTATTTAAAAATACGACAAAAAAAAATAAGATACAAAAAACGCCTGAATTAGTTTGTTACGCAAACATAAAATTATAATTAACTAACTTCAATGTAAAACAAAAGAACATACCCAATAAACAAAACAAAAAGAACAAAAAGAAGAAAAAAAGAAGAAACAGCAACAAACTGCACAATAACATCTTAATGTAAAAAATATTAATTAATTATAACTCGCAAAGCAAAAACTGAACATACAAATTTAATATTAAATCCGAAAAGCGCTAAAACCCCAAGTGAATCATTTTTATTTTCATTATATATAAATAATTAATGCTTTTTTAGTTCTCAACAAGTTGCATAATTTACATTAATGTATAATTTTTAAATGAAAACAGAAAACAAAACAGCATACAACAAATATTGTAATGTAATAAAAAACAGAACAAAAAAAAAAAACAAACAAAACAAAAACGAAAAACCAAATAATATATTAAATTAAAAGCGAAATTTTTTCACACTTTAGCTTAATAAATTGTAAAAAAAAAAATACAAAAAAAGAACAAAAACTGAAATAAAATGAGATTTAATTGAATTTGTTATGCAAATGAAAAAAAAAATCGATTGTTTTCTAATAGACCAGTTTTATCGATAAATTGAGTAACAAGTAAGAGGCTCTAGTCGGGAGCTTCCGACTGGGGGATACCCTGAACCCTCTTCTACCAACCCCAAATGCAGCTCGTTTGCTTTAGCAGTAATAAAAATAAATTTAAAATAAAATTCCAAAGAATTAGTTTTTATTAACAACTTTTAACCTTTTGAACCCATCGATTTTTAGATAGTAGGGATCCGTACGAATTCAAAAATGTATAATATTTCAACTTCAGACGATATTTACCCGAGATATTCAAAAAAAATCATCAAAATGTTTTGATTTTAGAACCGAGCCCGATTTTAAGAAAAATTTTAAAATTTAGATGTGCATTGTTTTAATGCCAATTGATAGGTCTGAACGTTACGAGTCTAAAATTGTATATCATTTCAAGATCGGACATTATATCATGCCAGAGTTGATTTTCTGTCAAAAACATACTACTTCGATATAGATTTTTATCGATTACTTCGAAACGAGGCAAGTTATCGATTATAGGAAACAAACTCGTACTACGCGGGCACTAGGAGGACGTACATTCCAAATTTCAAGTCTCTAGCTCTTAAGGGTATTGAGATCTTTGCGTTCAAAAATACTTTGAGAAGCGCATAGAGAGGTGTCGCATTCATAGCGATGCGCATTCTTATGTCAGATCTGCACTCGAACACACAATTGAACTTTGTGCCATTGTTTAAAGTCTATAATAAAAAAATTAATTAAATCGATTGTAGTTTATTGATTTTTAAATATTTATTTCCGGCTTTTGTTTATATAATTCTATGTGCTGCTGTTTGGCGAGCTGCTATTAAGGCGCATCAATGACAGGCAACAGGATACCCTATTGGTGTCCGCTTCGTTGGCATTTTGTATAAATAGCATATTACATATTTACAGGTGCGCTTGCTGCACGTACAAGGTGTGTTTATAAAATTGGGAAAGGGTATATATAGTTAGAGTATACAATCATAGATGTGTATTTGGAGTAGTAAATACGAGTACATGGGATAAACGATATAGATAGTGCTACCGAATGATACTTTAATTGCACGTTTCAATATACAACTAATCAATTTTATCAGAACTTATTTTAATCAAAAAACAAAAAAAAATAGTAAAATAATTAAAGGCAATCATCACACGCAGAAGACACAGTTCCAGGGTATTCTATAACAATCAAGTATCACTGAGAATATCCTTCAATATCGAGCTGGAGTTCCGCGTCGGCGCAAATTCGTTGCCGCTCATGTGCAGCGATTGCATTGGCGGCATTGCCGGCGAAGGGGGCGTGGCATGCATCAATTGCTCGCCACCGGTCGCTGTTGATGCTGCCGCTGAAGTTGATGCGGCTGTTGGTGGTGGTGCTGCTGCTGCTGTTGTTGCATCTCCTCCTGCTCCTGTTGCTGGGGACGCTGCAGCCGTTGCCTCCGTTTGTTTGGCCAAACTCAGCAGATTGGGTCGCGACTGCGCCGTCGATTGCGGCTGTGATTCCTGTTCCAGAAACTGGACAAAAGCCTGCAGCAGATTCTCATTGCCTGTAGCGAGGGGACATGCAAGTTAGTTGGGTATGCAAGAGGCAGTTCAATGGAAATAACTTTACCTGAGCTGGTCGAGGAGGAACCTCCGCCGCCACCGCCGAGTATACTGCCCAGCCAGCTGCTATGCGGCTTGTTGAGACCCACCTTGTTAGCCTCCTGATCGTTAAAGTCCAGCAGGGTGGATATCATGCGCAGCACCTGCTGCTTATCGCCCGCATGCCCGCTAACCACATAGCCGATGAGCAAGCTCTTGATGAGACTCTTGTCAATCTTGTCCGTCTGGCTGGACTCGCTGCTGCTGAGGCTCTGCTCCAGCTTGAGATTGGCTTCCTTAAGGCTGTCCACTGTGCGGAAAGTACCAAAGAAAACAAATTGCATTCAGAACGTCTCGAATAATAAGCGCACAACGCTTAGCCTATGGAGAATGCCAAGATCTTAATTTAAAGGCTAACACATTGACACGGGGAGACGAGGAGGGCGCGCGCGTGTGCGAATATACATATTTTTGAAAGGCGTGGCATGCGGTTAGTGCGCCCACTGCACGGCGTAGTATGACATAAGTACTGGTTGTTAGTTAAATGGCACACCAGTACCTGATGTAATACTCAACCGTACAGACGCTGATGCGGATGCTGATGCGGCTGTTGATGCGGCTGCTGTTAATGCTGTTAATGCGGCTGGCATTTGGCTAAGAGGCAGCTGCTCTGTTGGCTAGATGGCTGGGTAACTGGGTGGCTGGGTGGCTGGGTGGCTGGGTGTCTGGGTGTCTGGGTCCGTCGAGTCTAGCTAATGGGGGCTGGCTGTGTTGGCTCACACACGCAGTGCAAAACAAAATTCAAGCTGGCAAAACTCAAAAATCGAATGCAAACAATAACAAACAAAATCAGTTAAATCAAATCAATTATTTAGCTGGCGGGCAAAACAACAACAACAATAGAGCTAAACAGTAGTATATGCAAGTGTACGTATGTATATATGTACATGGCATAAATATAAATATATATGCACATATATGTATATATGTATAGGGTATATTTATGTTTGTGGTGTCTGTGTATGCATTCAAGAATTAAGTTTTTACATAATGTGGCATAAGCTGCAATCTCGAGCAATCTCCAATTGCAAAGTGAGTGCGTCAAATACTTTAAAATCGCTCACATTTACAAATTGAGATTAATCAATGCTGCAGATAAGTTTAACAACAATATAGAGGAGGCTGTATACTTTTTGTTTCTCTCTCTCTCTCTCTCTCTCTGATTTTTGACGTATTACGGATATACGGATATACGGGTTACGATAGCGGTCTAAAAAAAAAACGCATTACAAACTCAGAACATATATAAAGAATAAGAAAATAAATCATAAAATACAAAATTAAAACTAATAACAAATTGAAATAATTTAGCATACATATGTTACGAGTAAATATTGGCTTACAATATATATATATAAAACATTGTTAAATAATGAAAGAAATAACAAGCAGGCAACAACAAAGTACAATATAAAAATATATAATAAATATATAAATCATATATATAACACATAGCTCGGGCATAACTTGGAACCAGTGTGCAGTAAAATAGTTAAAAATAAAAATACGAAATACAAACATACTGCAATATACTAGCAAATAATACCACAAATATTGCCTACAAATTTCAACATTTTTTAACATATTTTTAAAGTAATTTTTAGTGTTATTTTTCTTCTCTTTTTTTTTTTTGCCTCTGCACAGTGGTTCCAGTACACAAAATCTATGGACTAAAAATCGAAGCTACAAATCAAAATTGAAAATTACATTTAATCAAAAAATAAAAATAAATAAATAAACAGTTTAGTTTACAACATAAAAGGCAGATATATAGAAGAAGTATTGTGTTTGTGTGTACCAGCAACAGGAAGTGAGAAGTGTTTTAGCGATCGGGCGATCGGGGAATCGGGGAATCGGGGGATCGAGCCGAACGGACGGACGTGTTTTTAGTAGTAGTGAGGTTTAGCTGATTGGAATATGTGTTTCGGATTGGGTTTACCTGCTCTATGGACCAACTTAGGGTTACAGCCAATATAGCCACATGCCGTAGGTGCGATTGAATTTGTGTGTACTTTTTTTTTCTTTAATTTTATTTTGTTTTCGGTTTTTCTTTCTTTTTTCAGATTAGATTTTATTTGTATTTTTCTTCATTTTTTGCGCTTGGTGATAAAATGCAATTCAAAAAAGTCGATACCAACTGAAATTCCGAGTGTTTCATATTTAGGCATTGCTCCCAGAATTACCAGCTGATATTTACCTTTGAGAATCGGGTGAGGTGACATCTCGTTCTTTCTCTCTCACGCTCACAGCCATACTCATGCACACACACACACACACGCACATACACACACACGCACACACACTCAAGCACTCAAACACTTACGCTCTCTAAACATTTAACATTCAAATAGAACTTGGTGCGAGTTTATGCGTGAGATCAAGTAAAAAGTAAACAGGTTTAATATATATAGTATTCAGGCCATGATGTGAATCGTGGGTTAAGTACATGCCGATAACTGAGTGGTAATTGAAGGGATTTGCTTAGTCAATAAATTGGTATTTGTATTTTTTTTTTCTTTTTCATTTTTTCTTTTTGTTTAATTATAACTTGAAAATTGAATATGCAGGGTAGTGCGATTTTAGATACACGAACGGTAGCCGACTTTTTTGGGTTAGTCAAAATCCATTGGCCTGCTTGCTCCGAGTGCATAGACTCACCTTCGTCACGGAGCACGGCTATGATTTGCTGTCCAGCCTCCAGCTGATCGGAGAGCCGGGACGCGGCACGCAGTCCCTGATTGGCATCGGCCAATTGCTGTTGCAATCCATTTATCTCCGACTGCAGCTTTGCCTGCTGCTCCAGCTGTGCCTGCATCTCGCGGCGCATTCGCTGCGTAGCCGTTGCAATGTCATGCTCCTTGTCTGGAATATATTTTTTTATACAGCTGTTGTACTTGAGAACTTTGCACTTTTGAGACTCTTACCATTCTGGAACTGTTCCAGTGCGCACTGCAGATTGGTAAGGGCCGCCTGTTGTCGTTGTTCGCGGTCTTCATGTTGGCCCAGCTTGGCAAGTAGTTCGTCGCGCTGTTGCAAGAGCAGCAAGTGCTGTGCCTGCAAGGTCTCCGCCTGTTGGTTAGCTCTTATGCTGTTTTGAGAGTAAAAATAGTAAAAAAAAATAAGATTAGCTTACAGTTAGCTTTGAATTGAGCCAGAGGAAATTAGTTAAGCAGTTAATATATCTAATGCACATCTTATTTAAGTTGAGCTTACTAAGCTAAGCTCAAGGAAGCTAGTTAAGCCCAAATGTTTGATTCCATTTAATGTATATAAATAAAGCTTTTAGCTTAAGTTGGAAGCTGCTCTTAAGAGTACATTTGATAGAATCAAATTAGAAGTGGCTTCATCTAAACATGTAATTAACTAGAATATTGTTTTCTTAAATAAATAAAATAAATGTCGATCAGCCGCGCTCAAAGCAGTAAGAATTTAAATTTGCTGCACAGCTGCAGCAGAGTATTTCGTTTGAGACTTCCAATTAAGTACAGTTGTGCCAGCTGCTGCTATCGATAACAATCGAAATGGCAATTCAGTGGAAACACTGTGCAAAAGTATGGCGCATGGCATTCCGTATGTTGATTGCAATTAGAATAATCACACAACGCTGCTGGCAGCAGGTGAATTCGCCTCGCCTCGCCGCGCCACATGAGCGTGACTCGCGGCGAATACAGGCTTTCAAAATGGCGACCCCTGCAAGTGAGTCATGATCTGGCGCACGCTTATCAGAACAATAATTAAGCACACACACACACACATACACACACACGAGCAGACGCACACACACATGCATAGACGCTAATTAGTGCACACGAGCGGGAACTCACCTGGCCGAAGTGTAGGCGTTGCTGGATTTAGATACCTCATGCTGTAGGGCCGCCTGCTTGTCCCTGGCCTCATCGAGTTCGCGCTGCAGCTGAACGCTCTCCTGCGTATGCAGCTCCTCGATCTCGACGAGGTGGGCCCGCAGACGCTCCAAATCCCGTTGAACACTCGCCTGTTGCTCCTGGGCATCGGCCTGTTGCTGTTGCAGCAGGCGCTGATTGGTTTGCTCGGTGAGCAGATTTGTGGTTAATATGTCGGACTTCTCCTTCAAGAAGCTGATCTGATCGCACAGTTTCTCGCGCTCCTTGATTAGCTCAAGCAACTTCTGCTCCTGCGGCTGCAGTCTCTGTATTTCCGCATAGTATTGTGTGTTCTCCATATGCTTCTGCTGCAAGCCCCTTATCAGCTCCTGTTTCTCGCTGTTCAACGTATCGAGGGTCTGCTGTAGTTGGGCGCTATTCTCCTTCAGCTGCGCCAGCTCTTGCTCCCTCGCCTGCAGCTGCGTCGTCAGCTGCTCTATGTCTGTGCTGCTGCCTGCGGAGGTGTCCTGCAGTTCCTTGATTGTCGAATAAAGCTCGGCCAGCTGCTGCCTGAGCTGCTCGCACTCCTGTGCGTTTGCCAGCAGCCGGTCGCGCTCCTCGCTCAATTGCTTTAGCTGATTTTCCATGGACGCCAATTCATCACGCATTTGACTCTCCTTGCCGCCTGCCTTTTCATGGGCGTAGAGTGCCTGCAGCTTGTCCAGCTGTGACTGCAACTGCTCGGTAGCTTCTTCACTGCTCAGCAGCAGCGCCGTCTTCTTCTCCAACTCTGCGCGCAGCCAGGTCGAGTCCGTTAGCTGCCGTTGCAGATCCTCAATCTCCAATTTAAGCTGCTCGCCACACTTTTTGCTCTCCAACAATTCCAGCCGATTGAATTGCAATTGGTTGCGCAGCTCCTCCAAATCCTGCTCCCTGGCCTCCAACTTCTTTTTGAGTAGCTCGCTTTCGCTGCACTGTTCGGGCATTTGTTTCAGCTCCCGCAGCTGCGTCTCGACCAGCTTCAGCTGTGCCTCCAGCTGCTCGCACTTCTCGGTGCTCTCGTGCAGTTGCTGCTGCTTGGCATTCAGCTGGGCCTGGAGCGCCGCTTCTTTCTCTTCGAACTGCAGATTGAGCTGCTGTTCCTTGGCCCGCAATTCCTGTTCGAGCTGCTCCAGTTGTGCACTCATTTCCGCCTCTCGCTCCAATTGAGAGCCATCCTGCGGAGTGACTTTTATTTGATCCAGACGAGCTGAGAGCTGCTCTATTTCCTGCTGCTTGTCCGCCAGCTCTTTGGATTGATGTGCCACGCGCACTTTCAATTCTTCCAGCTGGTCCTGATTGCCGCCTTCGAGCTGTGCGATCTCCAGTTTGTGCTCCTCCTGGAGCTGCAGCAGCGATTGCAGTTCTTCCAGCTGTGACTCGAGCTGCGCAATTGTCTCCTCGTGATGCTCCTCGATGGTCTCCAGCTTGTTGCGCTTCAACTTGTCCAGCTCGTTGAGCAGCGTCTCGTTGTTTTTCATAAGCTCGTCGCACTGGAGCACGTACTGCGAGATGTCCGCCTCGAGCGTCTTCTTGTCGTGCTCGACCATTAGCTGCTGCTTACGCAGATCCGACAACTGCCTCTCGGTGCTAGTCACACTCTTCAAGCGTTCGTTAATTATCTGATATGTGCGAGTCAGGGCGTGGTCCGATTTGTCAGCCACCAAAGATTCAAGGATCGAGAACAGGTGCCGCGAGCTGTCAGCTTCATCCGGCTCCACGTCTAGATCGGTAATCTCCTCCTTCTCCTCGGCAATGGCCTGACGGAACTTGGCCTGGGCAATGTTCGCGTCTAGCTCCTGGCGCAGCCGACGATTCTCGGCACGCAACGAGCCCAGCTGCTGCTCGAGATCATTGGCGTGTGTCTCCTGATCGGCCTCGGCGTTCAGCTTGAGCTCCTGATTTTGGAGCATCAGCTGTTGCAGCTTGCGCTGCAGTTCCAGCTGCAGCTGCTCCTTTTCACTCTCGCTTATGCGCAGACGCGTCTCCAGCTCAGACACCTGCTCGAGCCGCACACTGTCCGCCAGCTGACGCTCCACGTCGGCATCCTGCAGCTTGGCATTGGCAGCACTTAGCTCGCCGATGCGAGACTCCAGGGCGACGAGCTTGTTGCGCAGCTGCTCCTTGGTTGGCGGCATGGTGGCAGCCGCATCCGCATCGGCATCCGCATCTGGATCTGGATCCGAGCTGGAACCGGTTGCATCCGTATTGCGCACGACTATAAACTCATCCTCGCTGTGCTTTCCGCCCGTCGATGAGCTGTTCGAAGACTCGGAAGTTTTCTTTTCCTTCGCCTGTTTGACAACCTCCTCCAACTCAAGTTGCAGCTTCTCGCGCTCGGCATCAGCCTGACGCACACGCTCGATCAGTTCGCTATTGTCATTGGCCCGCTTGTCCAGCAGCTGCTGCATCTCGCCCAGCTCGAGCTGGCAGCGCTTCAGCTCCTCAGACTGTTGCTCGACGCGCTGCTGCAGCTGTTCCTGGACAATCGCCACGGCCTGATGCCGCTGCTGCTCATCGGCCAGCTGTGCCTTCAGGCGCGCCATTTCCAGCTCGTGGGCCACCAGGCGCTCGGCCTGTAGCTCCTTCAGCTCCGTCAGCTGTGACTGCAGCTCTGCCTTCTGGCCCAGCACATCCTGCATCGCCACCTCATGCTGCGCGTCAAGCATTTCCAGCGAGTTGCGCAGCTCGCCATTATATTGCTCCAGATCCGCAATTATTCTGTTCAGCCCAGACACATCTGGTGTGTCGACCAGCGCCACGTCCACCATTCCAGCTTGCGATGAGCCTTTGCTGTCCGCCGCTGTTGCGGCTGTCGCGGCTGTGGCGGGCTCCCAGCACCAGCTGTCTTCCACATTTCGAGCTTCGCCTGAGTTCTGCGAGAACACATAGAGAAATACACAGGAAACTGATTAGTTTACCAAATATTAAAAATACTCTGACGCCACCAAGAATTACTTCTTTACCATATTCAATGTACGTTAAGTTGAAAGACAAGAAAAATTTGCAATTCAAACGGATTTGCTTAAAATCGGAGCCAATCGATTGCTCTTTTTCTTTTCTGACACTATTTTCACAAAGCCCGACAAACAGAACATCTAACATAAAACTCAAGGCAACTTGGTTTTGTCAACTTAATATATTAATTAAAATTTGTTTGAGTGTACTCAAAATTAAAACCAAGAAATTATCTTTAAAATATGTTAACTAAACACACGAATTAAACAAATGTTCATTTTGCAATAAAACAATTCCTTTCGAATAACTTACATTTTTAATGGACGAGAAGGACAAGTAGCCGGTTTAGTCTATACATCGAACCTTTCTATGCGAGTCTCACTTCTATTCTAAATTTGGAATTTTCGAAATAGTACCAAACTGAAAAGTTTCTGACTTGCTCTCATTTTTACTTAATTTCTCCCTCTTAAACGATTATTCATAATTTCTGTCGCTCTCTCTGTCTCTCTCTTTCTCTCTCTCTCTCTTAGTTCAGTCCCTCATTTCTCTCCCCGTTTATTTCTTATTCGCTCTCTGCGTCATTTTCTTTCTTTCTCTCTCTCTCTCTCTGTTTCTCTCTCTCTCTGTTACTTTTGTTTGTTTTCCGTCTCTTCCCTTATATCTCTCACTATATTAATCGTATGCTCTCCCTTCCTACCTTCTTCAAATTCCTCAAGCACTATCTTACTCGCACTTACTCTACTCACTAAATAAACAACCTTGCTTGAATTCCTGAGAATCGCCTAGAGAGGTGATGTGTCAGTCAACATGCCAGGACGACAAGCTGTGTATACCACATACATATACGTACATATAGTTAGCTCTATCTGTTTCTACGGCATCTGGCCTTGTCTGAAAGATATTACTCTGTCAAATATTAACCGACATCTGTGTAACTCATAGTTTAATACCCATCGGAGCACTTGGCGCCACGCATGCGCCTTGCCCCCACCCCCCAGACCACGCCGCGACGAGCATGTTGTGTCAGGTGCTGCGGGCGGAGCGCGTGAGACATGCGAGCGTTAATGAGTTTATGAAAGAGTCTGAGAATCGTGAGTCGCGAGCAGGGCCAAACCAAAAAAGATGGCTGCCACACAGCGATAAGCAATGGGTGGTGGGGGGGTGTGAGCTGACGATAAAAGCCCATGACGATGATGACTGGTTGGTTGGGCGCCCCGGCAAAATGGCTGCTCGTAAACGGGGAAAATTTAATTAAAATTAGCACAAAATGTGCCACGAAACATGCTTGCGAAATGCTCAAATGTGACAGACAGGGCGCAGGAGGCGAGGCACACGATAAGCACCATGGCATTTGTTGCTTGAATGTCTCTAGTTATATATGCATCATAGTACATACAGTGGAGGAATGAGATCGGGAGTGCACGACTGGAAGATACTCTAAGCCCAGCATACGATGTGCTTCTTCCCCTTATTCAAGGGCAATGCATTCCTGATCAACTTCGGTGCTCATAGTCCGATCTTTATGCAAAAAGGTTGTAAGCGAACGTGCGTTTGTATTTAATGTTGAGGCAATGTGCAGGAGGTATCCAAAGTGAAATAACCATATATCACATTTGTAAAAACCTTACTCTCTTTGTCCGTTTTTAATATGCTCAGCGTAAAAAAAAAGACACTTGTGCAAACTTCAAACTGGGTTATCCACAGGCACAGCTCGCATGGCTGCCATGTAACCAAATGTGTGTGTGTGTGCGTGTGTGCGTGTGTGTCTGGGTGTGAAAACACTTGTGTTTCATAAACAAATATTAGTCAAATTATTCATTTGGCCGAGTGTCTCACTGTCTGGCTGACTAGCTTTATCTCGTTCACTCGCACACACCCTCTTGCTCTTGCCCTTTCTCTCTCTGTCTCTGTCTCTGTCTCTGTCTGCCTGCATAGAGCAGATTATGAGCAACAGACAATCGATCAGTTTGTGCGTCAGTCAGTCATACCCAAAACTATGTGATATGATAAACCATAGATACATATATGTATCTATGCGGAGCCGGTCAGGCCATAAACCCATAGATAACCATACTTATACATAGATATGGCATATAGGTACATATATATATGTATATGGTTGTTATATAGCACACACAGCCGAAATGCAAACACAGCAATACCCTCTAATAACAACAATAAACGAGAGCAACAACGACAAGAGCAAACAAATAAAGAAGAAGCAGACCGAATGCCATTGCGACAGATAAGATAAATGAAAGAAAAAAAGAAGAGAGATACAGCAAAATATATATGGTAACTGCTAGAAGCTACCAAATTCATTGGGTTGGAGCACAGTTAGAAGCGGTTAGGAGGGGTCCCTGGGAGTGGGCAGGGCAGATCGCACCCTGGAGAGCCGGAAGTGAACCGAAGACATACAGAACAAAAGCAGCCGCTGCTTAGCCAGAAAAGCCCCCAAACACAAGCCACAAGATATTTGCCAACAACGTGTAATCCAAGAAATACAAGAAGAAGAACACAGCAAATAAAACGATACCTCTTGAAATAAGTGCAGCAACAGCTAAAATTAAAGAGTGACAATATGCTGCGGTGAGGGAAAACTGACCGAAAACTTAAGAGAAGAAATATAATATAATATACATACATAATATAATAAATAAATGCATATATATAAAAAGGAGACTCTGCTCAAGACTCTAGATACAATCCTAAATGTACATGAAAACTAGATCTGCAACGATCCCATAAAAATATGCACTACAAAAGTATAGGGAATGCCCCTAATTAACCATTCCAAAATAGTGAAGAATTTGTACGAAGTTAAAATCAACTCTTATAAATAAATAGAAAATAGTAATAATTATTGTTGCTGCCCGTTAAATTATTTGAAAATAATTAGAAATTTGTCAGAGCTTTGGGGAGGTGTCCGACCGATCGCATTGCTTCCAAATGAACATTTTTATCAAGTATAAGCACTTCCAATTTTAGATATGAGTTCAACAATGTTCATACAAATTCAATAAAAATAAAAAACAAATAAAAAAGGGGAAAAAAACAAAGGCATGGACACAAAATTCTTATCAGTATTGTTGGTAAAAAAACAATACCAAAGAAATAAAATAAAAGCACATGCCATGAAGTTTTCAGAGCCAACCATGAGTCAAAACTGGGTGAGACAATTGCACAAAAACGATCAACTAGGCAAATCAACCAATAAAGTACACTTACTTTCAAATCATAATGCAATAATAAATAGCTTAAGAATAAATAAGTTCATGTGAAACCAACTAGGTTAGACCAATTCTGATTGGATTAGCTGGGTTAACGTCTTCACGTGGCCACTGCCCATTGCCATTGCCATTGCTGGGGCTTATCTTATCTCCGAGCCATAACCGTGCCCATATAGTTGTTACATGCTCATACTCACAGACGGGGTGTGTATGGTATGCGACGGGCCCGACAGGTCCGTGGCATACCGAAGGGTTTCCAATTGGGGCGAATGCCATAGCCAATTTGATTGTTTATTGCTGGGGACAGCAGGCCAGAGGGAGGGCAGGGGGCTGGCTGGCTGGCTGGCTGGCTGGCATAAACAGCAACGATACCCCGGGGAGTCACAAACTTTACGCGGAAATCGAGTGTCTGAGCGATTTCTAGTTTGGCTTCGATTCGCATTCGACTTTGGGTTTCTGGTTGCGGCAGCGTCTGCGTTTTGTTGGTATTTGGTTCCATTCGCCCGAAACCAAACCCAAATTCGATTGCATATTGCAAACAATACGAGGAATTTGCACATGCAACAAGTGGCAACAACAATATTCATCGAATATCCTTCCCCCGAATCCCGCTCTTAGTTTATTGGGCATGGACCTTATCTCAAGGCTCCATTATGGGTAAAAAACCATATCCTATACTATACTTAAAGTCGATAAGATTCATGGCACTAGTTAAGTATTGCCTTTAGCTTTATGGGAACAAAGCCTTGGATAGTTTCTGCCTGCTGCAAGACAGATCAAATATTTAAGGATGGGCCAAAGGAGAAGTTGCTAAGCCCTTCTACAAACAGGAGAGGTTTTTGCTTGTTGCCGCTGCAAAATGGCAAGAATAGGGTATTTGAAGTTCAGCAAGTCAGTTGAAAAAGTTTTCCAAGATTCCGAAATGCCGCAAAATTATAAAAATTACTTAAATATACATATATATATATATATATATCTATATATATGGTATTTATGTAGTCTTTCTCTGAAGCTCCGAAGCAATTAAAATATAATTTATTAGCATGAATTTGATTTCTTTTCAGTTAAGACTTAAAGCTGTGCCACCTTTTACAAGCAAATATCGTATATCATATATATATATATATATATATATATATATATATATATTTGTATATTTAGAGATATAGATACAGAGAGATTAGATATAAGAACATGCAAAAATATGTGCACTTTGGCTCTCTCTCGGCTCGCCCAACTTGCCACAGCAACTAAATAAAATGACTTATCATAAAGTATAATAATTAAGTGCATGCAGTTCAATATCCAACTAGAAAAGGCCGGGAATTACTTGCACAAAACGGAGCTAATAAGCTAATATGAGAAGATGTCAAGAGACAAAAGTCGAAAGTCAAGGCGAAAATGACGATGAAATCTTGTTGCCAGACAGACACAGCTTCAGCTTCAGCTTCGGTCATACTTAAGTACACGTACTTACACACGTGTAAATATAATGAGCATTTACAAAAAAAAAAAAAAAAAAAAAACAATATACGGAGTACAAAAAACAGCACAGTCAGATACAACAAACGAAAAAAAAAACTTACATTTTTGTCGCCTGTCAGCAAAAATTTCAATTTTTAATTTGGCAGCTCTGAGAATTTATGGCTCTCGGTTTCAGTTTTAGGTTTTCAGTTTTAGTTTTTAGT